TTCTTTCTTTTTGTCTGTACAAGTTCATCATTGAGCTCAGAGTCAGTGAACTTATAGAAATCGAAAGCAAGTTGTTTGACAACTTCTTTCTTTATGATTGGAGGTTTAGTGTTGCATGCTAGGCATTTTTTATTTTTACATCCATCTGATTTAAAACCACTGGCAGAATCTTTCAATATACTACTTCTTCTTACCTATGACTCAACAAGGGGAGCAGCTCTTTTGCCCCTCCTTTTCTTCCCTGGAGAGTGACTGTCCTGCTCAGAGTTTGCTCCTAGCTCCATTTTGTCCTCTTCAACATTTGACAAGCAAGTGAGGTCATTTTTCGAGCAGGATATAGGGATAGAAAATTGTATATAGCCATTGCCAGAGTCCAGGCATTATGGGAGCTTAGAAGCTAGCAATTGCTTAGACCAAGTAAATGTACCAGGAGACAATAGATGGAATGTGAAAAAATTTGCCCAATCCACCGGAATACTTATGTGCAGGTTGGAGGTGTTACCTGAGGAAAAGAATTTGGCCCAAAGTCTAGTGGCTGTAGCATTTTGAGCTTGAGTCCAAACAGGATCAGGTGTTAGTATCCTTATTAGAGCCATTCCCAATTGGATATTGTTGTTCTGAGCCTGCTGCTAAATCTTCTAGTTATTCTCTGCTGTTAAGGCATCAAAGAATTCAGCTTCTTCAGGAAAGACTTGGTTTTCACCCTCAGGTATGACTTGATTATTTATCTATTGGAGCTGATTTTCTGCCTCCATCTGTTCGGGGTTTAAATCTTCTTCTTCTTCATCAGTACCAATAAGCTGATCTAGTGGCACTTCATCTACCAAGTAGTTGGCTGTGGAGGCTATGACAGCTGGGGCAGCTGGAGTCTCAGGTGCATTGCCTAACTCATTCAGGCGCATGTCATGTGCATTCTGCATCAGATCAATTTCCTGCTCTTGTGGATTCATCAAATAGACCTCATTTTCAAGCTGAAGAAGATGTTGTATCTGTCCATTCTCTTGCAAATCATTAATCTCAATGAAATCATCTCCTTACACTGGCTTAATAGGATTGATTATGACTGGGTGAAGGTCTTGATTCAGTGGTGGTTGATTCAGATCAAAGTCTTCTTCTTCAGATTATGGCATAGCATTTAGGTTCAGAGCTGGTTCATTGTCCTGGGCCTCTTGCATTTATTGATCTTGGGCCTCTACCCCCACGGGCCAAGGATCCCATGCATTCTGCTACTGCCCTTGGTTTTGTTCATCAGACACAACTGGCCCATTAATAGGCTGGCCCAATCCAAAGAAGTCAAAAGGCATGCCAAGTTCCGGATTAAGATCCACAGGTATAGGATCTTCAATAGGGGGGCCTCCATCTTGTGGCTTATGCTGCAAAACCTCACACTGGACAGTCCAGGATTCACCATCAACAGTATCCGGATCTTCATACATGATGAACTGGGGAACCTTCTCCACATCTTTAACCTTAGCCCTAACTAGAATGCGATTCAAAAATCTATCATCTGCTTCCCAAAGTATCACCCTAGCAAAAGAACCACCTGCATTCTGGACATGCCTTTCACTCCAGTAATCATTGGGGAAACCCAAGAGAAGAAGCCAACACTCATGATTAAATTCAGCCCTTCTCCAGTTCCTTCCTTCATTGTGCTTGTGAAAGGTGATCATGATATTATCAAAAGGGTGAGGGCTTTCCTGAACTAAGATATCACGATGATAAGCATGAGTGAGGCGAACCAGAGCTTGACCGAGGTGAGTTGGCTAGATATCATGATAAGCAATGCACTTTTCAAGGTGGAAGAAATCCCTAAGAACTCCTCTAACCGCACCAAACTGAAGAGCATGACCCAGAAGAGGTTCAATGGTGACGATTGCGAGGTCTTCATACCTCTTTGGTGGCTTGGAAGGAGCTACGGCCCGAACCATGAAGGTACAGTTTGGGATGTCTTCATGCTGCAGGTTCTCCGGGATGAAGGGCTCTGGATCAGCACATTGATATGCCATGTCTGCACTCAAGGAAGGAGCTTGCTGGGTGGAGAGCGAGGTGCACTGTATCACAGGACGAGGGTTTTTCTCGATTTCAACTATTGCTGCCCTGGGGTGAGTGTGGCAAGAAGACGAAGAGCCACCCAGCTTCCAAGCGTAGGGATCTAGGGCCATATAAACGACAGCAGCATTAGCACTAGAGGCCTTTTCTCCTCTATTGGGCCTCAGCTTCCAGGGGACATGAATCGGTTGGGGCACGGTCTCCTTGGCGGCCCAGAACGCGTGAGCCAGGTCTCCAAACGATTTGAAGACGGATGGCTTTGAAAAGGAAGGCTTGGCATTAGAATCGAGGGAAAACCACATAGGCTTAGATGTCGTGGCCGCCTTCCCTTTATTTTTGCTAGGATCCTGTCCCATTTCTAAGATCTTAGAGTAATTGCACATCCCGGCAACATGACCCATTTTTCGGCACACACGGCAACGTATTGGCCAGCGACAATTGACTCACAAGTGACCAGATGACAGATAGCGGCTGCAGCCCATAGGCGAAGGCCTGTCATTCAATGAGGCAGAGGAAGCATCGGCAGCAGAGGAAGGAAAGAGAATGCGTTCAAAAATAGAGTGGCGCAAGCGCTCAAAAACTGAGCGGCGCGCCGGCGCCGGAGAAGAACGACGAAAAAGACGGTGGCTGCCCAAGGGGATGGCATTAGCGCCAGAAAGTGGGACTGATTTAACCGCCTCAGCATATGACTTGTGAGCAGGACGAATGGAAACCGAGGACCAAGAGTTAGCTTCTTCCTCCAGGAAACGTTGGAACTCAAGGCGCTAGTTTGGACCGCCATTACCCCAAAGAAAGAACAAGACTTTGTAAGCATCACAGGTGAAGGACTGAAGGTGAGCCACAAAAAAACTGACCTCTCGGGAAGAAACATGGAACTTGAAAGTTCGATCACCAAGCCTAGCCACATTGAAGTGTGCAGCAACGCATCCAATGGTGGCTTGAAGGATGAGGCCCACAGACTCAGAAGTAAGCCGAAATTTGCAGCGGCCAAAAGCAGCAACAAGAATGAAGGAGGAACGAACTAGGGAAGCACGGGAAATAGGAAGACCCAGTTCAAGACGCAATTCATCTTGGAGCTTAAGCCCCGGGGTGAAGGAGAGGCCTGGGAGCTCCATAACGGCAAAAGCAGGAGAAGAAAAAACGGTAAGCAAGTATGAGAACACACCTTCAGGGACAATCAAGAACAGCCTTAGTGCAGAGGCGGGTGAGCAAGGGCCATCAGCATTTCCAGCACAGCGAGCTTCATGAATGGCGCCGCTGCCAAGTGGCCTGCAGCGGGGGCAGAAGACCGTGGTGAGGCAGCGCCGCGTTCAACTCCCGCCTCCGCCGTCGTTGCATCACCACGCGGTGAATGAGCAGCAGCTTTGAACTAGGGCCAGCAGTCGAACACCTTGCGGGCAATCAACTCGGGCGAAGCTGCACTGGGTCAACACCTAGGGCCAACACCCCCAGAGAAGAAGGAGGTCGCCATGACGAGGGGGGCCAGTAGCAGTGCGCGGCACGGTGCTCGCTTCCCGCTTGAGCGAGTTCAGCTCAGGTAAAAAAAAATTATTTACTATCGTTTGGAAATCCAAATATTCAATTTAGGTTCTCTGATTTGAAATTCAAAATTTTAGATTTTCCGAACGACCTTGTATATTGACATTTCATATACAAGGACCCCCTAGGGATAAGTAGGCTTGGGTTGCCCAGGCTTAGCTAACTAGGCAGGCCAGAGACGAAACACGAACCAAATACATACTATGTGTTTAGCGAGGAAATTAATAGGGCAACACACTGGTTTATTCTTTCCTGGAATAACTAGAAATCTTGACCAGATGGAACTAAAATGTATCCACAGTAGACAAATTCACAGTCTACACATTGTTGATAGAACTTATACATAATTCGGTGTATATTACCCATACGGTGTTAAGATAAAAATGTGTCGTACTACAAAGTTGTAAAAAGCATTCAGGTGTACGTGATGTCACCGATCCCCTTCTCTTTTTCGTCCTACCCTCACGTAGGATGGACGTCAGCCCGGGGGTCGCCAAAGAAGCAATGATACAACGGCAACAAGTGCACTTAGCTCTCCGTCAGAATCAAGAGAATGCACTCGCCACTCGACTGAGCTGCAAGAAATGCGGCAAATAAGGAGTCGGGAGAGAGATCGAGCTTCCTCGGCGTCGGCAGTAGGCTCTTAGTAGTCGAAATTCTGGTTTGTGGTGAAGGTCTGGCCGAACTGCCACCACCCAGGCACCACATTCCAGAACTGAATGTACTGCCCGCCGGTGCTGGTAACGGCGAAGCTGAGCCCCTGGCCGACGAGCCCAGCGAGCGCCTGCCAGTTAGCGCCCCAGTTCCTGGACATCTGGATCCACCCCGTCTTGTCGCCCTTCACCCAGGCGGCGCCCACGGAGCCACTTCCTCCGAGGTTCTGGATGTTGACGAGCAGAAAATACTGGGAGCCGGCGATACTGAAGCGCACGCCGCCGGTGCGCGAGCACTTGACCTGCTGGTACTGGACAGCGATGATGCCGCCCTGGACGACGCCGATGTGCTCCCACGCCGGCTGGGACATGTCGAAGTGCGGGCGGCCCGGGCCGCACCAGCCGCCGTTGGGCAGCGCGTAGTTGGACGGGCACAGGTTGGTGGCGGAGACAGTGATGGAGTTGCCGGGCTTGCACCACTGGCCACCCAGACGTGTTGGGTCGCAGGTGATGAGGTAGCACTGCCCGCACGACGCGCCATCGTTGAACAGGGTCGGGCTCAGCGCCGCGTTGTTGACACCGTACCCCGCGTTGTACAGGTTGTCGTACCCGCATGCGCCACCTGTGTATATATCATATCATAAACTTGCATGCATTAGCGACGAAGTGATTCTTCGGTATATATACGTACACAAATGTATTACCATATATACAATAGTTCTTGACCTCCTGTGCAGAAATGAATGCATGCATTCTTACCCATCGTGCCGGACGCGTCGATTCCGCCGTAGAAAGTGGCAGTGCCTTGAGACCAGTCAGCGGCGGCGACGGCGAGGCACGCCGCAACAACCACCGTGCACAGCATAGAGGAATTGGCCATTTCGTCGTTCGAAATGGAGAGCTGGCTGCAGATAGAGAACAAGATTGACGATCGAGGTGTGCGTTCCTAAGCGGGGATGAGGATCAGGATGTTTGAGGCCGGTTTGATGCATGGCACTGGGATATCACTGCTTAAATAGAGGAGGAGGTGTTGAGGCTAACCGAAAGAGTTATAAATCACACGATATAGAGGTGGAGGTTTAGGGGAATGATGGTCGATCTTGCCTTGTGTCACAAGCAGCTATAAGTTTGAACACAGGAGAAAAACAATCCGTGTCTTCATTGGAAGCTAGCACAATAAGCGATCGATATGCATCACGGACGTACGGGGACGGCCAAAAACTAGCAGCAGGCAGGACCTAGACTACTGATATTGACGTGCAGGGAAGTAATCATGCATGGATGCTGGCCTGAATCAGCTGTTTAATTTGATATGTTGATTAGTCTGATAGACTTAGCTGCCTCCGTCTCCGTCAAGAAGATTCGCGCGGCAATGGACCATCAACTAACCCAAAAAGTTCCTTCCATTATTGTTGACATACGGAAACCCTTGTTCGGTGTGCATGTGCTGTGGTTGAAGATCGAGCAACGGCGGATCACAAGCGAGAATTTGCATTGGTTGGTTCAATTTCATTCACACATTCGTCAAACTAGACTAGCCTGAATAATTATTAAAATCATCCTAGCTATATATACTGTGAAAAATGATCAAGCACTCTACCACATTTCGCACCCTAACTTCTGATAAAGACACCTACAATCTCAAATACAAGACAACATCCTACATCTCGCCTGACTAGTGAGGTCTAAAAGAACATCATACCAGTCAAATATTTCAGTTTATTCGATTCTTTTAGTCAAGTCTAGAGTTCAAGCATGCCTATAAGTTCTTGTTTTCATTATAAAAGTCCTACTACCACCTAGTCGATTGGGTTCCATATGCTTTTTACATTATTTTCTCCATGTATTCAGCCCACTATTCCAAGTGGGCCATTGACATGGGCTTGGTTATCTCCAATGTGGCCCATTTGGCAATGGCTACGCACGAAGAAAAAGAAAGAACAATAAAACTGCACCTCGGGCGCTTGAGCCTAGGACCTATCGATAGGAGGGTGGTGACTATATCACTGAGCTATGAAGGTATTTCTACATTATTGTTGCAGCTGGGACTACGAATGTAGTGTGCATCGGATATGTGCTATGGTGACCACACTAGAGAGAAGTCTGCTGCCCTACCACGTCAGCTAGCCGATAAGCCATTGGAACAACGTTATCAAGTGGTTTCTATGGGGATACCATCGGATAAATCCATTGCATATTGGGTATAGGGGATTGGGACCTCCTTGTTGCACCTCATAACTTCGGTGGATTCTCTAGTGCTTGCACTAGAGAGCCTATGCTCTTTAGCTCTCCATTGTGGTCCAACGCTACCACTAGATTGTAACTCCAGTGCACTTCTCTAGTGACCATACTGGAAGTATACATCTGGGCCTTTCTTCACTACCTTTGATTATTCCCACCATGAATCTCCAGCGAGCACTAGCAAGAGTTTCGTTGCCTTTGTCTAGTGCTTTATCATGTGCCCATCTGAGTTGAAATCTTTGCCTCCTTTTGTCCTGGCTTCACTTATATGATGTCTTGAGCTTCTTACCTGCCTAGGATCTTCAATGCTTATCTTTGATCTTCATTGGAGTTGTTGATTCCTCAATCTCCATGGTAGCCTTGCTCAAGTCCATCTCTTGCATCCAGAAGACTAAGGGGGTGTTTGGGTCAGGAGGCTAATAATTAGCCCATTTTTTCATACAAATTAGAAAGGATAAGTGTGGGCTAATTCTGGGCTAATAAGAGCTAATAGTGGTTAATTGGTGGTTAGAGTCCATTAGCCCTATTATTAGCCCATAATTAGCTCATGTTTAATTCATTTTTACAAGATGGGATAATTTGTAGCCCTAGGATCCAAACAAACCCTAAGTACCGTACCTTGTATACTAGCCAACATTGTTAGTCCTAATAGTTATATATGTTGTCAATCAACCATTACCAGGGTCCAAGTTTCTTACACATGTATAACAAAATCACCATAACACATGTTACTACACCATGTTGATATACGCAAAATCCTATCACTATGTTGCCACAGCTTGTTCATTTTCTTGAAGCCCTTTTATTGGAAAAGATGAGGAGTTATGCAAAAAGAAAATTACCCATGTTTTGCATGTGACTTGACACACTCTGCTTGTATGATGTTTTTTCTAGATGTTAACATGGAAGGAGCTTCCCTACTAGATACACCCTTGTGGGTATATATGTTAAAAGAGACATATGCGTGCTACATCAAAGGTTCATCACCACTTAAGACAAATACTTGAATTCATATATTACACATTTGTTCATGGTTTTGGTTCTGAACTACTAATATAAACTGTCTTCTTGGGTTGGAATTGACATAATCAGTAATTTTAATATCTTTGTAGAATTGTAGTGGAATAAGTTATTAGTAATACTAAACTCTAAAATTGCAAAGCAAATTGTCACAAAGATTTTCACATACAACAATGACACTTAAGAGAATACTGATCTAATCTTTATTAAAAATATGTGAATGTAGTGTGATGTGTCTTATGAGCAAAAGTAACAAAAAGTTGATTAATTGAGATGGATCCTAGTTTTTGTCTTGTAGCTAGATGTTAATTGAATCAATATCTCCAAAATCTATAAAGCAGCCCTTCTAATGTATTTGCAAAATTAGACCACTGCACTTTAATCTTACCTCTCTTTTTTAAGGCATGAAAAACACAACTGTGTATTACGCGCTATGGAAGACTGTCTGCTATACCTACCTTGATCTATCTTGAGCTACTATATATGTGGAAAAATAATAATATAAGCACATGGTCTTATCGGTTAAAATAACTTGGGAAATGAAGCACAAAATTGGTTCCGCGTCAGCTAAATCAACAACCTACAGCACCGGAAGAGAACTCCAACAAGTATTCTACGTACGGCTATTAATGATGTTCTTAGGTACGACCATTTTCTGAAGCGCTAACTCCCAATTGCCTTCATGATGGGATGGAATTCAATCAAATGATCACAAAAGCACATGATCGTAGCAAAACATCATCCAAGCATGGTCTTGCACATTTCAATGATTGATTCAACAACCCATATATTCTTCTGGTTCTATTCACCCAAGATGATCAAGCAACGCCCCTAACTAACTAACTCATCATCTGGGTCTATCTAAGCTAGCTTAGCTGAATTTGTCAATAGCGGTAGATTACATAGACAAGTATGAGTCAACCCAAATAAATTACTATTTCTCATAGAGTACTGGAACATTCATTACTAGGTCATGACCTGCATGGACTCGAAACCCTAAATTGTTTATTTACCGGATAGATTAAGAAGCAACTCCAATGGGCAAAACTCGCTAGATAACAATAATTAGCTCCTGCAAGTTACTCCCGTTCAGAATGACAAATTAATATACCTTTGATCAGGTAGAAGTCAAGTTTTGTACAGTTGGATCAACAATTAATCAAATTATATATGAGTTTAGGACTTAAAACTTGTATCGGTAGATTTGTGTTCGTAGTGCCTTTAAGATAACATCAATTTTTTTAGCAATATAGACATATATTGTAAGATAAATTATGGGTCACAATCTATTTTGTTTGATCAAAATGAGCTTATCATTTCTGAACGGATGGAGTAACGGCTCGGCGTGGACTGATGGGTTAAGGTAGTTACAACTTACAACATGATGCATGTATCGGTGACGGTGACACATCTCCTCGGTAGCCACCAACGAAACAAATTGATGTTCCAGAGCGGTTGCGATGTTGATCAGAGTTTCAACGAACTAATGTGGAACGAATTCGGGTTAGTTGATAGTTCGTTGCTAACCTATATATTATATAGGCTAATCATTAGCATATGAAAACGCAGATAAATTAAATTAAAGCAATTGTCCACGATTAATTCCATCTCCAAAGTCAGGCCTTGGAGCTTAGCTAGTATCGTCGTGCAAGAGGCGTCTGCAACTGCATGCATGTGCTTTTGCTTCGATGGAACACGGCCGAATTTCCTCTGTTCTGACTATGTACTCTGACGCGCGCAAGGCACGACCATCATTCCCTAATGGATCGATATCCCCATGGCCCCACCGTACCTATCGTGTGAGTTGTCGCTCTCTTTCCTCCGGTTTGCCCCTTCACAGCTAGCTAGATCATCCACTATTTAAGCACTGGCCTGCGCCAACTCCATGCATCCCATCTCATCGCATAAGTCCAGAACACGTACGGTTGATCCCTCCATTGCCAATCCACCTCGATCGTAGTCGTGAAAATGAAGAGGCCCCTGATTTTGTGCGTAGCCTTCTCAGCGTGCCTAGCGCTCGCCGCCGCGGGCTGGTCTTCCGGCACCGCCACGTTCTACGGCGGACCCGACGGCTCCGGCACCATGGGTAAGCAAGCTCTTAATAATTATACATTGCATCCATTTTGCCGCAAGAGCTACGCACATTTTGCTAACCGCGCGCATGCACGTACCAATGCAGGTGGCGCGTGCGGGTACGACAACCTGTACAACGCCGGGTACGGCGTCAACAACGCGGCGCTGAGCTCAACGCTGTTCAACGACGGCGCGTCGTGCGGGCAGTGCTACCTCATCACCTGCGACACGTCACGTCCGGGCGGTAAGTCCTGCAAGCCCGGCAACTCCATCACGGTCTCCGCCACCAACCTGTGCCCGGCCAACTACGCGCTGCCCAACGGCGGGTGGTGCGGCCCAGGGCGCCCCCACTTCGATATGTCGCAGCCGGCATGGGAGAATATCGGCGTCTACAGTGCCGGCGTCATCCCGGTCCTGTACCAGCAGGTCCAGTGCTCGCGCACCGGCGGCGTGCGCTTCAGCATCGCCGGCTCCCAATATTTTCTGCTCGTCAACATCCAGAACCTCGCGGGCAGTGGTTCCGTGGGCGCCGCCTGGGTGAAGGGC